TACTACTACTACTGCTGCTACTACTGCTACTGCTACGACGACGACGACGACGACTGCGTACTACTACTACTACTACTACTACTACTACTACTGCTACTACTACTACTACTACTACTACTACCACTACCACTACCACCGCCAACGCCAACGCCAATGCCACCGCCCCTGACCCCCACTGCCACTACCACCACCACTACCGCTGTGATGAGGACGACGACGACGACGACCACCGCCGCCATCACCACCACCACCACCAGCACCAGCACCACCACCACTACCACTTGCACCGATCTTCCACATTCAATGTGTGCAGTGCGACATCGGTGCATAGCTAGCTGCGACGGTAAATTCAATGTTGCATCCGTGGAGGCGTCGGGACCGGTCTAGGTCTAGACGTGAACGTCGCTGTCAAACAAGTCCTTTGTGCACTTGGCGACTTGATTTTGCAAGGTTTTGGTGCCAACAGCTCAAGCTCCATGACCAGATAGAGGAGTTAAAGCCTTTGTACGCGAAGCTGTGGCTAAAAGCGATCGACAAGGAGGAGACGCAGGCTCGTTCGTTTTGCGCATCGAACTGCAGGGGAGCTTGCAGTGGGAAGCATCTCCATGGCCGCTACCGCCAGGTTGCAGAGCAATTGCGGCTTGAAACAGGAGCCGCTGTGAAGACGGATGAAGGCGAGGAAAGGAAGGACTCCGGCGAGGACGAGACGGAGGAGGATGGTTCAGACGACACTGAGGAAGGCGACGAAAGCGAACTGTCCGACGGGGAGTTGTTGGATGCGCACCAAGGCTGGGAGAAGGGAAGTTTGCAAACACTCCCTCTTTCTGGTCGAGAGCACAGGCACAAAGTGGCAAAGCGCATCACCCGTCGACGGACCGTTAGATGCCGCAGCGTTTGAGCAGCCTGCATCCCAGCCCTTCTTGACAAGGGATCTGTGGCCGTGTTGTCCCTGAAATCCTGCCGAGGCAGCGTGCAAGGCGTGACACCGATGCCAGCTCGGTGCGGGCCTCAGAGGCTCCGGAGATCGTGCGTTAGCATGGCATTCTCACAGAGACAGAGGTCCTCTCCGCCAGGGATCAGGTTTTCGAGAAGCTGCAGAAGGCTCGGGATGATCAACCACAGTTTTGTTCAGTTGCGGTGACCCTTGGAGTTGACAATTGCTACCCGAGAACAAATCTGGATGGCATGTTGCCCCCGACTTGCAGAGCCATGATGAACCCTGACCTTACAAAGCTGGCCACCTGCCAGATACTCACGGCAAAAGCCCGGAGAAAATCACGCTGGGTCCTCGGTCACGACATCTAGCAGAATGCACAGCTGGGCTCTTGTTGCGGTACATATTATATATATACATATATATGTACACACGCAGAGACACGCGCACACACACACACACCCCGATTGTGGTCCCTCGAACTTAGTTCAACTTAATTAGTTCCTTATATATCAAGAAGCCAGAAAGGCTTCTGTTGATCTTGGCTACCCTGAGGCCGGACTTGCAACATATTCTTGGTCTCTCCCGTTGAGGGTCGACACCTGAGAACCAAAGCAGCAGACGGAGACCTCGGCTTGTTCACGTGAACTCAGTAGTGTTGTCCCTGGCCGCTGAAGGCGAGAATGCGTCTTTAGTTCTGCCAGGCTTCAGCCGCAGTCTCAGCATTCTCTGCCGACGACGTTGTCGGAGTGAATCCTATAGTCTGGCAAGCAAACTCATTGGGTAAGCCGAGGCAAAATCACAAGGTACTGGAAGCTAAGATCATGTTGATACTCATCGTCATCGCAATATAGCAGCTTGCTTGTGCAACTTCGTTATTAGTGCTGTGTGCACTTGTGACAGGGAGACAGCCTTCCAACAGTACGGATGTGCAAACTCATTGGGGCTGCTAGTCTGCTAGTATTAATTGTCGAGCCTGAATCCATTCCTTTCGCTGATGACTCCTGAAATTTTGCTGGTCTGCAGGTTCCTGAAGTGAAATATTTGAGAAGAGCAGTCCCGACAAATTTACACATGGCGCACCCCTCCCGTCCCTCCAATTACGGGTGCGGTCTGCTCGGATCTCGAGTTTTCCAGGTCTTCTGGGGAGTACTCGGAGGTTATTAGGGACTTATAACCCTACTTATAACTACCCATGAACCTGCCGAGGCCCGAGCGAGGTCTTTGGGCCAGCGGATGTGGAACGAATGAAGCAAGTACGAGACTCCCCGCCGAAGCAGTGTCCAGGCGCCACGTAGCATCGCCTTAGAGACATTGAAGCCTTCGACTGCCAGTGGAGGCCCCGAAGGCCTTCGGATGCTCAAAGAGTTGGTTGAGGAGATCAAGAAGGTCGAAGCTGCGAGTGGAAGCCTCAGCAGCTGAAACCGCATTTGACGGGTTTCTTGTTTCGTGGTCGCCGAGCCAACAAGGTGAGTCTGCTTCGATTTACATGGGTGGTGCTTCGATGCAGGCCGAACAGGCAGCCTCCATCGCCTGCACATAGGCATCCTGGAAGCTTGGTATGCGCATGTCAGGCTTGATGATGTGACACACTCTCGGATGTGTGCCTTTTGCAACAACTCCGAGAAGTGTCGCCAAGAGTGTGACGATAGAGGCCTGGAAGGCATCATTCTTGCCCGAATAGGGTTCCAGAATCGCTTCTGTGCCCTGTACACAATTCGTATTCCTGCCAGGGTTGCCCGCGCAGGTCGAAACTACAAGCACCTTTAGATAGCACGAGTGTTTGAAATTTCATGGGCAACCCTGGCTTGACCTGATTTTCTGCAGCCTTGCCTCACCCTTGTTATGACTGCTGTGCGGCACTGACATTTGAAGAAAGAATCCTTGCCGTGCTGAGAGGCTCAGAGGCCACAGGTTGCATATAAGGGACAGGTTGCATATGCTACTGTTTGCAGTGGCATGTTCGAATCTGATGCAGAGCAGCTGCATGACAGCAAAACTCCACACCTCTCGTCGACATGTGATGCGCGCAGGTTGAAACTCAGAAGAGGTGACATCCTGATCGCCGGGACAGATGGCCTCTTCGACAACATCGGGGACCATCAGAGCCTGAATCATTCATGACTCCAACATCTCCAACTAAACTCTACTCGTACCAGCTGGTACTGGCCTTTGCATCCTTCCGTCAAAGCTGACACGGGAGGATTTGGAGCTCAAGTCCCTGGCGCTGACGCACCACGAGAGTAAGGGCCTTGGTCTCCCAACCATGGGGAATGGGAGGGCTCGGACACCACGAGCGTCAGGGCGCACGGCAAGTGTTGCCAGCTCGACACAAGACATGGCCGACGCGCAGAGGCCTCAGCTTCCTCAGCTTCATGTGCTCAGGCGGAAGGGATCTGCCGCGCTTTTCTGAATGACGTGGCAGTTTGAGGCTTCTCGAGCGGGCTGCGGACGTGGTGGCAGCCCAAGAATTTGCGGTTTGCGTAGCGATTCAGCAGCTTTGGATCCTGTGATTTGCAGGCCCGTTCGCCCGCGGAGTTCGGCCCGGGCGGCAAGCTGCGGCCTCAGGTGAAAGGACTTGAAGTTCGTCTTGTGGCACCAGCAGAATGGGCCCAGGTTGGATGATATTGCCGTGGTGCTCGCAGAGGCTGGCGACTTCAGAGCACAGCTCCTGCGCTGCGCCCGGGTGGACCGAGCAGGTCCAAGACTCCTCGCCGGTGTCACAGGCTGGCTTGCTCTCAAACCTTGCACCGGCCCCAAAAGGGCTTGAGGTTGGTAGCCATCAGGTAAACTCTGCTTGCCTTCCTGGCAAAAAAGTTCAAGATTTTTCCGGCCATGACCTCCACAAGCAAATGACCTGAACATCCGGAAGCGAGGTAGATCCAGTCAGTGTTTGGGTTTCTCCCGCCACCTGCGCAAGTCGAGGTTGACGAGTGACATGTCCAGGGATGTTCCAGTCCAGAGGACGCAATCCTTAAGACGTTTCACACAGGTCGATGCTGCAAGGCCTCCGCACAGCATGTGACCTAGGGGCCAAGGGCCTCCAATCGTTATATGTTCCACTTCAAAATACTCGGACACTCGACACTCCAAAGGGGTGCAGTACAAAAAGGGCCAGTTGTGGCCAGCGCGTTGGCTGCATGTCGGAGTAGCCCTCACTTCTGCGTTGTGAAACATGTATCATTCGGAAATTGCTAGTATTGTACGCCGATTATATGCTTTATTTGATTAACCTGATCTGATGGTCATATTAAAAATTTGTAACTTGCACTAAGGGTGTATTATGATAACTACAGTATGAAGGTATAGCAACTATACGATAGCTTTGTATATATCTTTATATATAGATACAGGCATATGGGTTCTGACTGATCTGATAGATTGCCAAGCTGGTGCCCTGTTACCCTTGCAACAAGCGCAGAAGGCAGCACACTGCCCTTCGAGGGCTGGTCGAGATCGAGTCGCTCTCGGAGAGATCCCGAAAATGAGCTTGCGAAGTGCTATTGCAAATACATAGAGTCGTACATATGTGTATATATATATATATAGATAGATAGATAGATAGATAGATAGATAGATAGATGTATAACGTCTAACATAGTAGGTATGAAACGTATATATGATTGCCATGGTACTGGTGAGCCGTCAGGCGACTGACATGCTCAAGCCCCAGCAGTTTCAAAAAACACCCGAGTGCCACCTGCGCCGTGTCGGAGCATCTCAAACGCGAGTCGCATCACAATCTCAGTTGCGAAAACGGCGCACTTAGTATTGCTGCCACTGCAGACCTTACGACAAGAGCTCATGTAAAGCCATAGCAAACATTACCGGAGGGACACGAGGTCGCAGCCAGACGAGCTATGATCACAAGAAATGTTCTGTTCCTGGTTTGAAATGAAGACCGAAATAAAGACGACTGAAAGATCACAGCAGCAAAGATTTGCGCCCTTGCTCCTCGAAGGAGAAAGGCAAAGAGGCGGATGCAGTCTAGACTTGATGTAGACAACCACCCATTCCGTTCAACTGCCACAATACAGGATCTTTGCGAACTTGCCTTCCGGCCGTTGCCATGGCAGAAGACTTGGGCGAGGCTGCGAAATCCGGTAATGTCCCGAAGGTGAAAGCGCTGCTGAAAAAATGCCCGGGTGCCCAGTGCCCAGTCACTCGTAGCAAGTTCCAAGTCAAGTCTGTATTTGTTAACACTTGCATGTGTAGTTGCCTGCACGAACTCCGATGTAGTGATTGTAGGAGCTATGGGATTCTGCAGGTCAGGATTTCGAATCCGCCAAGGCCAGCTGGGCTCTGTGGGATGCGGTGGGTTCACTGAGTCACTGATTCCTGTCAGCTTCGTTCCTGCAGGTTCAGAATGCCTGCGTGGGGGCTGCCATTGCGCAGCAGGCTTCCCGAACGACCACGAGCCACATACTCCTAGAGAGTTTTTTTGGCCCTGTGCCCTGTGAATTTTCCTGTTCAGGCGGAGTGCGTGCAGGCCTTTCTGGAGGCAGGCGCACCCCTGACCTGCCTGGTCCTTAGACACATTCTTCGTTGGCGTTGAGCGCCCCTGGCCTCAAGCCCAGATTAAAGCAAGGAGAAGCATCACCACTCTTAAGCAGAACAAGCAGAGCGGTAGCAGCCTGTGAACTTCTCTGAACCTTCAGAAACCTCCAGCCGTGGCCGACCCGAATTTTAGTCGCCCTGAGCTCTCCGAGGCTCGGACAAAGAGGGCCGCCGCCTCCTCCCTGCGTGCTGTCGCCACTTGTCCTGACTTCAGAAAGCTCAGTTGGCCGGGAGATCCTTGTTCTTACTGATCCGTATCCGCAGCATGTATTATATGCAATATATGCATAAGAGCATGTAGATGTAGATGTATATGCAGATGCGTACACATATGTACATGTAGATGTTAATGCATATGCATGTGTATGTGTGCGTATATGTGTCTGTGTATGTCTATGTGTATGCGTAGACGGACGGGGCTTCAGCTAAGGAAGCAATTTGGCAGAATCCATCGCGTTGATGGTGTCCCTCCGGGCCGACGTGTCGAAGCCTGATGGCATCTCGGCTCTAGGTTTGGACAGCGTTAGCTGGATGACAGATCGAACTGACTTTGAGCGCTTGCTTCCTCCACATCCAGCCCCTCCCTCCACTCGACGGTTTCGCTGTCCTCAGCCTGCAGCAAAGAAAGAGTGCAAGGAAGCACCTTTCGAAGTGCACACCGCACTCAATTTCCCAATTACGCGAACCGACTTGTAGTTGATGGCTCCATGTCTTTCTCCTGTTGCAGAGAAGTCAACCAGTTTGTTTGGTTCGATTACGCGTGGTATTCATTTCCCAGCTTACCTTCAATTTGGCTTGGCAAACTGTCAAGGTGATGGGTCACTGCCGATGTCCTTGGCCATCCAGAACAAGTCCATGAGCTGCGTCAAGGAACATCAACAACTTCGACACTTTCGCGTAGCAGTTCTACAATAGCTTAATCGGTTGAGGATCATCATGTTGACGTTGGCACTATGCCACCAATTTTATCATAGACCGCGTCCCTCGGTGTCGTAAAATGTGCGATGCACGTAAGTATACCGGTGGACTAGGGGTATCGGCGCGAAAAGAGCATCTGCTGATCGCAGGAGCTGCTGCGCGGGGGTGCCCAACCCCCTGCAAATGCGGACATGCCTGGCCTGGCCAATCTGATGCTGGAGGCACGCTTTCCAAGAGACCAGGGCAGGGGTTTCGGCTACTTCATGGTAGCCCATTTAGAGGGCAAGGTGGCAAGATGCAGCACCAGTGCAGAAGGAAGTGTGGATCAACAAGCAACGAGGATGAAGCCTCCTGACTGGGTGGATAGTCGCTACTCCCTCATCCTACCACCACAGCCAGCTCTTGGTCCCCTGTGTCACGGCATGCTGGCTTGCAACAACCACCTTCTTGGCAGATGCGGTCGGTAGAACTTGAGCCCCTCGTTCTCAAAGTTTGCGTCGGTGCACCCGGCCAGCTCATGATGCGAAGCTTAAAGAAGAGCTTGTGAGACTTGCAGCTCCGCTGCAAGCTGCCCGACACCGTACTTGGATATGGAACCCAGGCAGTGCTGCAAGAGCTCCAGCTCGAAATAGAGCAGTGCAGGTTGGCCGCGCATTCGCTCCCTCCCGATGCATCCTTGCGTCTACTGGGCGCCCTAGCATCCCTTCGCTGTTTGTGAGCAGGTGCAGTTTGAGCAGTGCGAGGCTGAGATTCGGCCGCTGGCAACTGCAGAGGCTTTGCGGAAAAATTGCGAGATAGGCGTGTGAATACTGAAACACCCTCCAACAGCGGCCCAATTCTCAATTCCACAGCCCCATGTGTGGTGCCTCTGCAAACCTCTTGGAGGGAGATGTAGCCATCCTCAGACATCAAGTCGAGCCCGCCTCTGCCAACCTTTAGAGCGCAGAGAGCCCAATACCCCTTAATTATGGAGTATACCTCAAATGGTAGGGGGCCTTAATACTATGGTTTAAGCCGTATTCCTCAATTAAGGGGTGTTGGGCTCTCTGGGTTCCACTCCTGTCCTGTCGTTCGCTTGGAGGTGGACCCGGCAGAGCTCCTTGAAGCTGAGCGGGTCGTCCTAGAGGGCATGGAGGCCGGGGAGAGTGTCTCTCTTGGAAGTTGGGTAAAAAACACCTATTCTGAGCTTTTTTTACTTCTTGTACATCGCTCTCCACAGAGAGTTTGGGTTCTTTCAGTCGTGCCAGGACCATAAACGCCTCATCAAGCTTCACGAGGCAAGAGCTGCCCATTGAGACGGGCTGCGCGCCTCTTCCGAGCTTCTTTCCTCTTTCAGGACACGCGAGCCTCGAAGAGCTTGGCGGAGGTGGAGAGGCAGATCGCAGATGCCCAAGCAAAGCTAGAGGCTACAAAGGCCTCTTCAGCTGGGCACTCAGTGCGCATCTGACGCTTTCCCTCTTCCGGAATGTCCTTTAGGCGGCCAGGACCTGTCCTGTCAAAATGAGGTCGAATATGTGGAATCAATGACGCTTGCCTGCATCGCCAAATCAATAAGGGCCTTCCCGACTTGTTCAGCATGTCTCGCGCCCGAAGGCATGTATGGTATGGGACCCTCCGGCCAAGGCAAGTCAGCCTTCTTTGAGCCAAGGAATCAAAAAAAGATCGCGATCCGAAATGCGTGCAGCCGGCAATATTGAGCAAACCCTCAATTCGCATGCAAGACTTCCTGTTCAAAGTGGCATGGCTCCCACGGCACTCAGTTCTGCTTTTGCTGTGCGTTGCAGGGAAGCTGAGCTGCACAAGCTCCACAAGGAAATCCACTCCGTTTGAGGCCCAGTCTGGCTAGTCTGCCGCTGTCAGAGCGCAAACCTTTTAGCGCCTTGGGATCAACCTAACGCCTGATTTGGGGGGCTAACCTCCCACCCGCCAGTTGACGCATGGGTGGCTAAGGTCCAAGACACATACACCAAGCTCAAGGAGGAGGATGCCAAGGTCGGGCAGACCGCCTTTCATGGTCTACTACGAAGCCTGAAGCTCACCCCCTGCAGTTGAAGCAAGAGCTCATCACGAGCCACGAGATTCTGAAAGAGGCCAGGCTTGACTATCCCAAGAGGCCTTGATTAGGGCAAGGTTTGTGTGTTCGTGCGGAAGGCTCAAGCCGAACGCGACGCTCTGGAGGCTGCAGCGAGCCCAAACGAAAGTCAGCCGAGTAGCGCTGTGGCTTTTGAATATGTTGTTGCCTCGGCGAATAAGGCACGGCTGGAGCGGGAGCAGCTTACCGGCAAGGCTCGCAACGAGAAATAAGATTCATTGGTTTTGCGGGCGTGACCAGCTCCAGACGTCAGGGAAACTTTACCTCCACCTGAAGGCCCCAACTTGATCCGATAATATTCGAAATATTGCAGGTCCAGGAAGAGCTGCAGGAGCTGGAGAAGCTCATTGAGGAGATGTGTGCGATCGGTTATATGCGGGGCAATGGGGGCCTTTGATTGGTTGGGCTGAGGGTGTCGGTGCAGAGGGCTCGAGGAGTCTAGAGTCGGAGTGCAGCATCTGCAGGAGCTAGGCTGATCTTTAAGTCTCTCTGGTTCAGCATGCTTGTGCGTTCGTGCTTGTGGAGGCCAGCGCTAGCAGATATTCGTATGGACATAGTTTCGAGTTATGTTTCGAAATCCGGATCATGGATGGGGTGTACTACGCGGGAAATGATTCGAGCTGCTCTGCAGGAACAGACGCAGCAGAATGCCTGCGGCTTGATGAGTCTCATCCGCCGAGACTGTCAGAGCCTGCTCAGAGCGGGGTTGCCTTTGGAAGGGCCTCCAGCCTGAGGCCGGCTACCAGCACGAGCTGCTTGCAGCCAGAGAAGACTTGGAAAGCTTTGTCCTCAGATACCTCGACTTTAATGTGGGGCATAGGGTCTTGTTCGGAGCTCTGTAGACAGTGAAGAGATCGTTATGCTTCTGTCCTGCTGGAGGAGCCGTTGAATAACACATATGGAAGCTTCCCCTGCTAACCTAGCAAGTGTCAGAAATTTTCCGAGCAAGGGGAAGTTCCACCTGGAAGGGCGGCTCGATGCGAGCACCTTCAACAAACTGATCCTTCTCTACCCGTCCGGACAACCTCTTGAGAGGTCAAAAATGTGCGTCGGCTAGGTACCACGAGAATCTCATAGCCTGCATGGGACCCATGGGACCAGCATCCATCCGGACCCTCGGGGCTACCCACTTGAATGAATCGGTGAGTTTCGAAGTCATGCACCAGGCAAGATGCGGGACAAAGAGGAGGCCAAACTTCTCACCGAGAAGGACGGGGCGTCACAGGGAGCTTGTCATGATTCTAATGAATCATGGTGGTGAGTCCACTTCAATGTGGGGTTTGCGTGACTCCGGATCCGGTCATGCAAGTGTGCAGCGTCAACCTAGTTTCGTCCCAGACGTTGGCTTGCAAATGTCGATTTGCATCAGATCAGGCGCATCAGCTTGTCGACACACTCTGAGCTCTGGGCAGCATCGCTGGCAACAGTGTCTCACAGCGTTGGAATGCTTTGGAAGGGAAACTTCCAGACATGCATGGTTGCATCGTGCAGTGCATTGAACAGCTCTTGCACGCAGCGGGTGCCAGGCTGCTTGGGGACTGCCCTCGTACTCCGACGAAACGCTAACTTCATAAATCCTTGGGTGCCGTCTCAAGCAGGCCAAATCTAACTCGCTTCAGCCAAAGCTTGCTGCATGTACACAAGGAATGTTTCACAATGCTGCTGAGCAGCTTGTAGCGTTTGTGAATCCGCAGCGTTAAAGTTCTGCTCGGCTGCTACTGCTGTTTAACACAATATGGCCTCGACGTGTGCTTCCTTTGGCATTTCAGCTCGTGCTTGCCCGTCATGAGCCATTGACATATGAGATGTCTTGCATACTCCTGTTGTCTGCCTCATCAGACTCAGAAACAGAGCTTAGGACTCAAGAGCACAAGCCCACAGAGTTCACAATTGGCCATGCAGCCTTTGCGTAAGCGGTCCGTTCCTGGTGCTGCGATCATGTCCGTACAATGGGTAGCACCGTCGCTGGCTGCGACGAGCTTGGTCATAGTGGTATTTGGTAGGAGGGATCGTGAGCTACTATTGCACTGTGCGAGCATCTAAGCGTGGGCAGCGTGGGTGCCCGTAAAACCAACTGCCTGCCCAAAGGCACGTGCCTCGTCATCCCGAGTTGGCCGTTTGCAGACTCGGCTTCTGAAGACACAGCAGGCCCAATGTCACGATAGTCATGCCTTCTCACGCCTTATCATGCCTATGCTTGTGCACGTGCACAGGCCCATGTGCCGCCCATGGCCTCTTCCCACAAAGATGCCCTTCGAACACGAGGACGGAAGTTGGAGGGTCACTTGTCCTTCGGTCTGAGTCTGACTGGCACTAAAGAGCACTCTGACACACCTTATGATTGCCTACTTGATTTCAGGAGGCATATCATCTGTAGCAACTCAGCCGCAAGCTGGCTGACATGCCACTAACCCTGCCTGCACAATCCGACAAACTCCAAAAACTAAACTTCAAGCACATGCAGTCCTGAGGCCGGCGTACTCGCTGCTGCAAAGATGCACAGCAGAGAGGCCAGTTGGGCGAAGGCCTGCACGGTCGTCGCATCTCAATCTCGACAGCGAAGGCAGCCCGGTGCGTTTCTGGAAGAGCAGGCCGGGTCTGAACATGCGTGAACCTCGAAGCCTGCTTGACCACGACATCCTGTTTCCACTTGACAGGGAGCCAACCACAGAAGTCTCCACAAAGCGAGAACCTCGGCTGTCGCACAATCGACAGGTGACGCATGCAAAGTACTCGGTGATCCATGTGTAGCCGTGCAGCCGTTCCTGACCGACGCATAAGTCCGTTTGTCACCAGCCAGGATGTTCGGTACTACTTCTCGTTTGTCATAGACACGGACAAGTAATTTTTCCTGGTGGCAAGCACGACGACCAGTCCTGCTGCGGGAAACTAGCATAATTTCACCCTACCCTTCGGACCACTGCGGTGTTTCTGGCCTTCATGCCGACTGTCAGGCTGCGTCTGATGGATTAAGTTGGGCTCACTACCCCTCATTTTGATCCAGACGGCATCAGAAGGCACAGAGAGAGACAGTGAGGAGTGAAGCAGGGCGTGCCCCCCCCCTATGCAGAGGGCTTTCGTCCCCTCAAGCCTGATGCAAAATAAGCGAAGCAGAAGCGGGGCAAGAACCACTGAGCCCAGCGGCTACGGTGAAAGTGGCAACTAGCCACAGTCATCGCTTGTCATTGCCGCAGGTGCTGCTGCAGCACAAGAGCAGGGCATGCTGACTGTGACTGTAGCTGATGTGAAGTGATCGTTGTCCAATTTGAATGGCTGGTGTGTGCTAACACGTTGCAGCGTAAGTCCATAGCTTTTGGCTGTCGGTTCGCTCTTCCAATTTGGTTTGCCTTGAGGCCAGCGACGATGGACTGGAGCAGCACCGGCCGCGGCCGCAGAGGGTTGCTGTGGCTGGACCGGGCAAAGCCTTAGCCAACGCAGGTTCCAACAGCCATCTCAGTGGGCATTGGACTTTTCATTCGATTCGTTTGCCCGGTGCCGGAAGGCCGGGTCACACATGATGACACTGACGCAGCATGTGTGATCACAGTCGGTTTGCACGGCCTCTCTGTGAATTCGACATCGTGCTTTGATCCCGATGCTTCCTCGTCCTCGCTGTGTCAGCCCTTCGCACCAGTCTTGCCAGGAGTCTCCGCCCAGGGCTGGTCCATCCTCGCCCTGTTCGTGGCAACGGCACGCGCATGTCATTCAGCGGAGCTGTTTATTCTGCCATGGTTCGATGTGCGGAGTTCGAAAAGGTCACCGGCATCGTCACCCAGCCTCTACCGTCTCCAGGCAGCATCATGGGCAGTCCTGCAAGCTCTGCAGGTTTTGACTAAAGTCTGATCCATCCAGGTGTGGCGTTTTGTGCCCTGGCTGTTGGCCTAATGTCGAGAGCTCAGCACCAGCAGATGAAGTTCAGGAGCGTCGGGTTACACCCTCATGCATGCGACCAATGCCCAGTGAACCACAGTTTGACTGCATGTCTTTCAGGAAAAAGGTAGACATGGTCGCATCCTGTAGCTGAGGACGAAAACGCGGAAGCCTCAGAGCTGTTTGTTGCTGCGTTTTGGACGGCGCTTGCACCGTGCTCGGGCTTGTAATGTGGCAGAAGCATATCGAGAAGGCGCAGATACTAAAAGATGTTTATGTCCAGGCTGACTTTTGCAGAGGGCGTTGCTGCATTCACGGATGAGGCCAGGGTGTGTTGTGAATGTAGTTTTTTTGTGCTGCACTGCAAGCACCATCAGCTTGTGCTTCATCGCGATAACAGAATGTCCCCAGGCCCCGAGCTCTCTCTGCAACCGAACTTTCCCTCTCAGGTGTTGTGGCTCGTCCTACTCGCATTCTTCTTCACCAAGGACCTGGACTGCCTTCCAACATCACTCTTTTCGAGCCGCGTCTATCTGAGCCTCTCAGGGCTTCGCAAAGACCGGCCTTGGTGATCGAATTGCGTTAAGTGCCCTTCTGTAGGGCCCTAGCCGCAGGAGTTTCCGGGATCACAAGAAGTGTCAGGTATAGTCCGCTTGGTCGGGGGCACAACCTTGGGACTGGCCTATGGCCTGAATGCAGCGGAAGGAGGCCGGCAGAGCTGTTGCTTTCGAGTGCCGCCTGGCCCCGCACGCACACGCATGAAGAGTCATGCGCAGTACTGGCTGCTGGAATGCCTTCTTCAGCCGCCCGAGCTGCTGGGTGCCTACTTCCGCCCGCGCATCTCGAATGTATAATCTCGATCTATCGTGCAAAGAGTCACACTGTCGACCATGTCAAGCTGTCTGCTCTGAGACTCTCACGCTCTGCTGGTCTCCAGGTTGTTCTAAACGATGACCACCCCCAAGCATTCAATGATTTGAGCATCGAAGTTGTGGTGCCAGTCACTACCAGGCCGGGGTGTTTTATCCCCTGGCGGACTCAGTTGCAAAGGCGAGGGCTGATGACGTGCACAGTTTTCCAGCTCGGGCGGGACCGGGTTCGCCACCACGCAGGCGTGTGGCTCCGACCCGGCAAGGAATCAGGCCCGTCTCTCAGACTGAGACTTCTGAACCCCTCATGTGCGACATTCAGTCATTCGGTTCTGATGTGCGGACAGTGAAGCATAGTGAAGCCTTGGCTCAAAGTTCTCGTGAAGAAAGCGGAGGTGCGCGATGCTCAGAATGATGCTGAAGCAGCGGCAGCTACAGCATTTAGGCCACATATGAGAACGAGAAAAATCGTTTGCTCCTCCTTGCTGATTTGTGTCGAAACAGCAACCCTCTTTTTCGACCCATCCGTCGCGGTTGTCAAGCACGACTTCGACTACTGAGTACTGTTCTGTTCCCGCCCAAAACATGTAGTCCTGACGACCTCATCAACACTCCTTCACTCTTCTCCAAAAGCGTGCGCGGGCATGTTCGACTTCGATCTGCTCGAGGCTGCGCCAGAGATGGGCAGCACAGGACAGGCGACAAGCAAGAAGAGCTTTTTCAGCACAAGAGTTTTTCATGAGAAGATCTTAAATCCCCCTCCCTGCGATATCATCAGTAGCTAATTACAATAACTTGAGCTTCCCGCTTCAACCGCGGGCAGGATCAGCTGGCAATGTGTCCCACGAGCTCTTGGCCGGGAGTGGTGCTGCTGCCGCGCAGCGAATTGCCCGATTGGATGCTCGCCAGCGGGAGGATGCGGAGCGCGTCATGCTACTAAAGGCCAGTGCTGCTTTGCAAATCATGGCTTGGCAGTGCATCCGGGTGGCCGCAGCAACCCGTTGGGCGTGATGCAGGCGGTCAACGCAGTCAACGAAAAGCGCGTGCTCGTTACTGCTCCTCGACGTAGATTGCCACTGCCTCCGCATCTCGGCTGCAATTGGATTCCTCGACGTAGATTGCCACTGCTTCCGCATCTCAGCTGCAATTCCATAGTAAAGGCGAGCAACCGGGATCTACACCCACCCCAAATCGAGGCAGGAAGCTACAGCGTGCCACGAGACCTTCCAGCAAAAGGCCCAAGTCAACTGGGAAGCAGGCCCGTCCGCTGTCTGTGTGAACGTGGCAACTGCGGGCCCTGCCCCTGTGGGGATGCAGGCTCGAGATGTCGTTTGAGACTTCCAGATGCCGTGCTGGGACGAGTGGCATCGACCGTCCCGTGGGCCTGCGCAGCCCAGGCAGTTTGGAGACTGCAGCCTCCGGATAGCAAAGCCGGTTGAAGGTTTGGGCAAGTCAGCTTTTGCCCCTGGTGCCTGCAGGCGGGCGCCTGGTGCCGCAGCGCTCATACAGCGCTGTCTCCCCGTATGGCACGGGCGCGCCAGCAGGTTCGCGAGCTTTGGGCAGCCTGGCGTCCTGACATATCTTTGGATCTCGAAGCGGGTGCTTGGTCAGCACGGAGGAGTCAGCCAGTGGCGCCACATACATAAAAAGCTTGCGGTCTGAGCTAAGGCATGATACCTGCCTGCGCACGAGCACCTTCGGGTACTTTCGCTGGTCGGCCGCTGCTTCATGCAGCTGCTGGTGCTAACGACGTGATGGCTCTCAAAGTTTTGCTGAAGCACAGGACTGGCAGGGTTTAGGGTCTTGTCGGCCAGGAGCGTCTCGCAGCGTTTGCCTTCTGCAGGGCCAATCTGAATGCTCTGGATCCCGACGGCTCGTGCGTTCTCGCAGCCGCAGCTCGGCAGGGCTGTTCGGAGGCTGTGGACTTTCTGCTCAGTCGAAGCGGCAGCACGGATGTTTGGAACGCCCATGGAGAGAACGTGATCCATGCCGCAGCCGGCGGTGGCTCGGCAGAGGTCCTCGAAGCTCTGGCGCAAACGGTGCCACGAGAGTACCTCAACTCTCCGAATTACAGGGGTGACACGCCCCTGATGCGTGCTGCAGTTCTGGGCCGTTCTCCACGGTGTGTGGAGCTGCTCCTGCATCTCGGGGGCATGCAGCACCGTTTCCGCGAACTTCCTTGACTGAACGAGACGGCTCTCGCTTTTCTTTCGACATACTGCCAGGTTCCTGGATGCCGATCCATGGTGCCAGAACAGCCTCGCGGCTGCAGCCATGTGTATCAGATGTATCGCCACTCTGGGACCCGGTGTCAGAACCTAGCGACAAAGTCATGTGCTGTCTCGCAGTTTTTGCAGTCGCTGCAAGACCTTTAGCCATTCTTCCAGCCCGTGCACTCGTGAGCCAAGTGAGGATTTGGATCCACTGCCCTCGACAAAGTGCGAATCCGGCAGCGTTGCGACAACGAGATCACCGTACTTCTCGAGTCTGCCATGGCCATGGCTTCAGACCACGTCCTCCACTGACGCGCGCTCGTGCTGTGGAAAAAGCATGCAGGGGTGCGAGTAGATACAGTATACACACGTGCATGAGAAGCTGCCTGAAGCTACGATCTACGGAGTTCAGTGCGGCCAAGCACCGGGTATAGGGCTGATGATGCGTGATGATGCAGGCCACCGAGCGCGGCAAGCAACACACCCCGCAAGTACAGGTCGATTTCGATGTTGCTGACATCACAAAGACAGATGATGCTGGTGAGCAGGACCGGTGATTGTGGTGATGTGAGCATGAGACTGATGATGCCGACGATGCGCAGGTCAGTCGCGGCTTACCGGACAGCGAAAGACAGATGATGCGTCTCTGGATGATGATGAGCATGAGGAGGAGGAGGAGGAGGAGAAGACGAGGACGACGACGATGACTTTGACGCTGATGATGCAGGTGGAGATGCTACGGTTGATGTTGCGATTGGGCTCACTCAGTCACTCTTAACGCCCGGCCTAGGAGCTGTTGCTGTGGTGGTCGGTGCGCTTGCGTCTTTTGCTTCCTGGTACGGTATAGTAACATAGTACGAATGCAAGGGCTCTACGGGCTTTCGCGCTGGCTGTTGTACAAGGTTTGACAGGCTCATCGGTGCGGCATGTGTGTGCAAGCGAGGCCAAAAACACGGGTGGCTTCCTGGTTCAATGTGCTTTTCAGGCGCCTTGCATGCCTCCTGATTGCGGCACGGTGACATGTCGTGACAGCGAGAATCACTGCACTTAGTTGTGCTGCAGCTAGTTGCGGGAGGCCACTGGGAATTCGTCTTCACTGTGGCTGTATGGAGCAGCGCAGAATCTGCTGGCCTTGAGGATTCTAGCAAGCAAGAGTTAACAAAGGGAGTTGAACAGAGCCTTGTTCCTGCAATACCCGAGGCTTGCTGGTCAGCTGGGATACGTGGTCGAGTCTCCTTTCACAACCTGGCTGAAGGCAAGACATTGAAGTAGTTCATGCGGCGCCGGTGTGCTTGCGAGTTGGCAGGCAAGCTGCGTGCCAGCCTTGACAGCCATGGTCGGGGACTTGTTGCCTGTGAGCCCTGTGCATTCGCCTCTCATACTCGAGCTTTTCGTAAGGCACTCACACCGCTCATTGCATTCTGGGCCTTGCCACCCGAAGCCACTTCGGCCGACTTCACTCGGCAAGGGTGGGCACGGTCACCAGTCGCCGAGTCGCCAGGTCCAACGAACTCCGGACGCGCCCAAAGAGGCCGAGCGGAAGTTGAAGCAGCTCCAGCCTCAGAGCACATGCCAGCCAGCTCTCATTTTGTGGGGGATCCACTCAGGATGGGGCCAGTGAAGTTGGAGGAGGCTTTGCTTGAGGAATGTAGGAGGTACAGTAGCCAGAACAATCCTACCTCGATATGTCACTGCGTGGCCATCAGGCACTTCTGGCGGGCGTCATCATTGGCATGCTCGTCCTGTGGGCCGGCTCGTCTGCCTTCAGGAGCTGTGCCAGGGACGGGCATAGGTGTGTGTGTGTGTGCGTGTGTTTGTGTTTGTTTGTGTATGCTTGTGTCTGTGTCTGCTCCGCATATGACTGTCACGGACATGGATGTGAAGTCACGCAGCAGGATTCCACCTGTGCACACCGCAGTGCTGGGGCTTGCAGCCGCAAGCTCGACAAATCGCGGCATCGACGGTAGACAAAAGCTTGACAAAAGTGAGGTGCTGCTGTGTTCTGGTGTGTTGACCTGGTCTGACTGCGCTGGGGAGAAGGCGCCGATTCGGCAGCATTGAGCGATTCTAGACACCGTTGCGGGTCGGAGACAGGGCGCGTGGACTACAATGACATGGTTCGCCATCCTCGTCAGCATGAGCGCGATGTTGAACAAGCTGGGCATCGTCAGGCCATGCGTCCGTACACCGCTACTGAGTTGATGAGCGACAGATTTCGCGGACATGGGTAGCAGCTCCGACTTGTGCTCCACCTGGGCATTTGTCCTGTGGAATGAAAAGCCTTGACTTCCCAGACCGTTTGCGGGTTCGACCGGACTACTGGATGTTTATGAATAGTTCATATAGCTTGACGAATCTGCAGAGAGCAGCAAGCCTCCCGTGTCCCTGCTCGCAAGGTGGCTGGCAGCATCGATCTCCACGAAGATTTCAGCCGCTGGCCTGTCGGGCTGCGGCGGACTTGGCACTCGGAGAGACACGAGACAAATGAGGGTTGAGGACACTGTACTGGTAGGATTTAAGCCGCGAGACCCTAGAGTTTCTGGCACCATCCTGATAGGTCCAGCTTTCCTGGTGTTGCTGACTGTCTACGTTTTCTCGCACTACGTCTTCGCTTCGCAGGCGCCTGCACTGTCTCTGTGCTTGCAATACCCGTGATGGTACCTGCGAATGGCTGGCATCGAGGAGGATCTTGAAACATCTTGAAACTGCCGGATGTTGTGCCCTTTCACATGTGCCTGTTCATGCCACATGCCAGTACGGTTACCATGGCCAAAGATGTCTCCGGAAGCGGCCGGTTTCCCATGAAAGCTGACCACGTACGAAGGTGGCACATCTCAGCGCGCTGTACCTGCCTTTCATTGCGATGATGGCCGCATCCCCAACTTGAGCCGTCGTCTTTATGACGCAGGCGGGAGCTGAGTTCAAGCTACAGGTGGAGACTGGAACACCGCCAATGGTTTCGGTATTCTCGTCTAGCCCCAAGCCTGATTTGTGATATCCGATCTTTGAATGCTGCCCCGTCCTGAGCCGCAGGTTAGCCTTTGCTTCCAACATCTTTGCTTCCATGACACCGTACTCATCTGCACAGGCAGGAAATAAGATGTGGAACTCGTGACTTCTCGAAGCGGGTGATTCAACTCCACGAACTGTGCACATCTGTAGTGGAGGCTCCTGTTTTCTTCGGTGGCAACTACGTGACTCAGAAGGACTGGTACAGGTCGGCCACTGTTCCTCTTCTGGTTTGGGCTCCGAGGTGTAGCAACACGTCAACCAAAGATGGGTGACGGGGAGGGAGCAAGGACGCACGATAATGAGCGTAACATCGCGTTGATGGGGCGGGCCCTTCAGAGCCTTACATCTGAACTTAGCTTTTCGTCGCTTGGGTTCAGCTGTTTCTCTGTCGGGACAGAGAATGCGAATGAGGCCCTAATTATTGTTCACTGCATTCCGCAATTGATTCGATCCGAGCGAACGTTCGACAGTTCGACAGTCGGTGACTCCGCATGCTGTGTCTCATGCTCGTGACACGGCTCCTGGTGCGCATGCCACAGCGCGCGTCGGTCAAAGCGACATGTCATGTTCCGGATATTTCTCTTTCCATGAATGTACTAGTAGGGGAAGGGCTGCTCGATTATGAGCGCATGTGGCAGGTTTATAATCGTTCCTGGCTTGCGAGTCAGAGGGCTCTACGGCTGAAGTATGGCGTATTCTGCGTTCGTGACATTGCTGCTCAGTGTGGCCATTGCGACTTTTGATGGTCTTGTGGTGTGCGTTCGTCAAGGCACGACAACACATGTCGTTTTACTCGCATCACTTTGTGCTTGCCGGACAATTTCAAATATTCCGTACTTCCACAAACGCGGCTCAGTCAGCATGATGTTGCACCGGGTAGCATGCCAGACCCGCCCTTCTCAAGCCATGTTGCAAATGAAGGGATGTGTTACCTGTATCGTGCATGACAAGGCACAAAAAGCCACGTATTAAACAGCATGATGAGGTTGAATGCGGGTGACCAGAGAATGAAGCATTCGTGCTCCATGCTGCAACTTCCATGGTCATACCTTGAAAAGATGGATGATCAAGACATATCAAGACCTGCTTGGTAACGTGATCCGTTTGCCAGGCCACAAGAGGGAACATGCCGTTCAATGAGTGACTGATTCTGTAAATAAGTAGTTAGTCAGTGACAGGTCAGTTCAGTCTGGTGGCACAGAGCCCGCAGCTTGAACAAATGACCACCTAAACCCTAAACCCCACACCCTACCTCACACGTACTAGCACAGTGGATAGTCACCACTGCCGGTAGTACTCTTTCTTTACTTTCAATGGCTACCAATACAACTACTTCCTACCTGCTTCTGCCCTCCTAATTTTATGAGTAGCACCAGTCACGGCGCAGCGAAAGCAACTGCTGTCAGAGGGCCCCGAAACAAGCATCCTTTGCTTTATTGCGAACTTGAGAATAAAACCGAAAAAGTTCTCGCAGGAATAATACAAATTCGGGAAGCGGTTACCGCCCATGCCGACTTGAAATGCTGCATGTGCAGCTCGAAATACGGATGGTGAATACTCCAGACACGGCTTGGTAGGTTGGGCTTCATCTTCATTCTCTTTAATATGATCGTTTGGGCACCTGGCTTAGCAGTCATTCGCAAGATCTCATGGCTTGCCATGCTTGCACCGAAGCAGAATGGGCTAGGGGGGTTGCAGACAAGGTCGGTATGGGCGCCGTGTGGTGGAAGGCGCTTTCGCCCGGCGCTGTTCCGATTGCTGCCAAACCTAATCCAGATCTGCAGGTCATCGGCTTATACTGAGGCGAGCTCCCGCTTGGGCATTGTCAAGCCTCGATCAAGATAAGAGTTCATTTTTGGGAGATTGGATTGGATCAGGCCGATACACTACCGAACCTGTATTTGAAATCGAAGGAAGTTTTGTTTCATGCCCACAATCTTTGCATCCCGTAATGAATCTATATTTCGGATTATAGGATTTATGCTCATTGCCTTGCCAACAATGACTCTCCAATTCCTGCCGGGCTTAGAAATCTTTAAACTTTAATAACTATAAAACAGAAATCCTCTCATATGGAATGACATGGTGGGATATTCTTTATATTTTAAATTAATCGAACATATATTGATTTTATCTATATATATATATCGAAATATCCTAATTCTTTAATCTTTATTTTTTTAGAAAATTATAATTGAATTCTAATTTGAAGAATTTTTATTCAAGTTAAAATTATCTATGATTATAAAAATAGATTCATAGATATAGAATAGATATTTCTCTTTATTCATATTATTGAAAAATAAAAGATTATTAAGATTATTGATATATTTAATTGATTTGAAATAAATAGATATACTTATTTTTATTAGAATATTAAATAAGTATAATTAGGAATAGTTTTTCTGATTGAATTTATGAATATTTTAATATTTGTATGAATTCAAATAATTTATGAATATATTCTATCTGTTATAGGTATTCTGAAATTTTCTGAGTATTCTTAATAATTTATTATTTATTATTTAAATTCTTGTCTTATTAAAAAGAATTCTGATTCTTATTA